GTGTGCACTTGCGGTCTCTGGTACGAACAAACAAAAACAATACTCATCTAAATCTCATTATCGGGTATGACCGGCTCAATCAACTGCAGTCTAAATCCTTTATACTGGACTATGAGGTTGGATAAAGGCTTTATTCTCGGGTTGTATATATTGCGATGCTTAATTAGAGAGCCACGAGGGTAGATTTGCGAAGATGACATCAGTTGACGTCGTTCGATCCGGGCTTTGCCGCTTCTTTTCGTCATTCTCGTACCTACTCACGCTATGTCTCCTCGTAGATAGCTCATCTTATATGCAATAGATATTCTTCAATCGCACAACCTCCTTTATGAGACATTGCTTATTTCACAGTAGTTTCCCACAAGTTTCCTATATTGTTTTCATCAAATCAATCTTTTGTGATTGAGCAGATTCCTACTAGAGTGGTTTTATGACTTCTATTTAAGAAAGAATTCATTATTATAGCATTTGAGAATTGTTAAATCTGTTTATCGCTTTTTGCAATCTGGTTATTTGGCAGCGCATTCCCACACTCTTCTTCGCAGATATTGAGTGACGCAAGTACTCGTTTTATTACACTTCCAGTCAAACTAGTAGAATACTAGTCGTCTCATGTAACTCTTTCCATTGCTATTGCACACTACAATTGCATTCCACCGCCTTTTCTAGCCATCTATGGATATGTAGCTTCCTTCCTATAACCCTCATATAATTTTTTGCGATTGTGCGTACAATGCATTTCCAATCAACATGCCCTATCTCCCTTATTCAATTTCTTTCGGAATCACGCTATAAAAAAGTCCGAAGTACCAGCTAACGCTCGCAGAAGGCAAATGTTCTAATTGTTGCAAATCCTTAAAATGAAACGAAACCTTGTAAAAAGCAGAAATGAAAGTATCGATGTAACAAGTGTGCTGGATACATAATGCCTTCCTTTTGAACTAGACAGGCGTTCTTTGGCATGAAGATATTTGATTACTTATTATATTATACTATGGAGCTATGAGGCTAAATCTAAACATTTTCCCTCTTTTTTCCTCTAATAGATGTTTTATTTGCGATGTTCGCACATAATTTGAAGAAGGATAATGCGCCAATTTGTATGTTACTGCATTTGTTATTATCTTCGCTAACAGCTCACGAATAGTTTCTTTTCTTGAACGTTTTTGTAAGTTTTAATCTCCCGAAAAAAAGGTTCTTGCG